AAATAAATATATTTTTTTCAACACAAATTTTTTTCGTAAATCTATTACAAATTCATTTTTATCTTTAAATTCTTAAAACTCAATTAATTTAATCTTTAAAGGTAATATGGGGTCAAGATCACAGCAGAAATTTTTTTGGCTAGGTCTCTTAAAATTGGTCGTTCAAAATGATAAATTTTAAAATTGACAATTATTTTCAACAATTTAATGAATTTTCTAACTTTATTTTGAATTTTTTGTTCGAAAGTATAATATCCAATAAGTTTATAACCAAAATTATGTTCATTTTATCTTAAGAATTAAATTTTTTATTAATTAATTTAAAAAGAAATTGCAATTTCTTTTTTTTTCAATATGCAGAAAATTTTAAATTAAGAAAAACAGTATTGGATTTTATAGATTAGATCTTTTTTTATAGATTAGATCTTTAACTAAAATTCAGTTATAGAATTATGTGGAAGGGAAATAGCAACTGTTCTGTTGTCCCCTTGACCCCAAATGACAATAGCATTATATGACAACAAATTTTCTCTTGAAATAATTGGTTTTTAAAATTGTACAAAATACAGTTTTATTAAAAAATTGTTTTTAATAAATAATAAAATTATAAATTAATTAAATTCATCAAATTTTCAAAAATCCATTTGTTTTCATTTCTTTATTAAAAATTGTTATTAATTTTTTTTACGAAGAAATTTTTTACTACTTTAAAATTTATTGGTTTTGAAAAATATGTCTATTTGAAAAAAACAATAAATAAGAAATCTAAGGTTATAAAATTTTAAAATATTTTTTATGCATAATGCACACGAATTTAGAAACAAATATCTTAATTGCATGCAGTTTACATTAAATATATTATTTTATTTTTCTTAATATTGTTGGTTTTTTTATATTTTTTATTTATAATTCTAGATCTGAATTACAAATTTACGTATTTTTGAAAACAAATTTTTAAAGTTGTAAAATTTCTATTTTTTTAAATATCAACCGTTCACAAAATTATTAAAATCAAATTTCATCTGTGTCGCTATATTTAACTACCATAACATTTTTTATGTCCAAAAAACAAATATTTATGTATTTAATGTAAACTGCATGCGATTAAGATATTTGTTTCTAAATTCGTGTGCATTATGCATAAAAAAAAATTTTAAAATTTTATAACCTTAGATTTCTTATTTATTGTTCTTTTCATTTAGATATATTTTTCAAAACCAATAAATTTTAAAGTAGTAAAACTTCTTTTCGTAAATCTGCTACAAACTAATTTATAACTTTAAATTACTAACAAAGTTTTTTATTAATTATTATTAATCAATTATTTTCTTTGTCAATTCAGATTTAGAGAGTTCAAAGATTTAAACTTAAAATTTTTGAAATTAGGGTCAGTTGGGGTCATATTAATTTTTTTTTTAATTTTCATTTATTAATAATAAGGAGATAAGTTGTATTGGAATCTTAAGCCAATACAACTTATCTCCTTTAATTATTATTAGCAAATTCAAAAAAAATTTTATTATTTAATTAATTTAATCCCAAGTTCTTTTACTATTTTTGTTTCTTAACTTAAGACTAACTAACAATACCTGTCGAAATAACACCTAATCTAATTTGAAAAATCTCGCTCGCATTGGGCACCTAACGCTCACAAGCCTATACTACGCTCACCACGGGGTTACGCTGGCTAGTTGCCCTCAATCTGTTAATACCGTTGATGTTTTTGGCTCGCCTTTATTATGTTTATGTCTGTTTTGTGTATTTGAATATCACAAACATTCAGAAGAAGTTCGTATAAGCGTTTTGAAATTTTAAGCAGATGTGATTGATTACTTGACCATGAGTCAAAAACTTGTGTACCACAAAACCCTGTATTCAATTAGTTTTATCCCCAAGAAATAATTCATGACGATAGCTAGCACTGCGAGCGTCAGTAATCGTTTTTATGAAGTTTCTAATAAAAATTTAATTTTTAACTGTATTTTATGTATAAACTCATGCCATTTTGATTTTATGCATACCGTTTGGCACAATGCGTAAAAAAGGAAGTAGGAATTCTCCAGTAAAGTTTCAAAAGCGTAAAAGAGTTTTTAAAGGTAATCAATTTACTAAACCAAGAAACGCTAATGTGAAAAGTGCATTTGGACGCAAAATAAAAACCTCTAAGACCTTTCAAGTTCCATGCAACACAACTTTACAGTATTGCCTTATTTCATTTCCTCATGTGTTTTTTACTTTGTCAACTTTCGTGAAGTGCAAATTGTGTGATAAAGATGTGAGTTTTGAAAAGGACAATCCAAAGGGTCTTAGTTTGCAACAGGTGGTAATATGTGGATGTGGAAAAAAATATATTGATTCATGCAAACGCGTGGAAAAAGATTATGAAGTCAATAAAAAAATTGTTTTTGTCATGCGTTTGCTACGAGTTGGCGTCTATGGCTTTCAATTGTTCTGTTCCCTGATGGATTTGACCAATAACTTCTCTGAATATTTTTATTACAAAGTAATTGATCATATAAAAATTGCAACCGAATGTGTAAAAAATCTGGTTATAAAAAAAGCAGGTAAAGAAGAACAAATTTTAAACGCCAATAAAGGATTCAAAAAAGACGAACTGACTGTCTCAGTTGATGGGACTTGGGCTAAGAGAGGTTTTTCTTCTTTGATTGGTGTCTGTAGTCTCATAGGAAAATATAGTGGAAAAGTTTAAGATGTATTTATATCATCAAAATACTGTAAACGATGTGAACTCAAGAAAAAAGAATTGAACCCAACAGAATTTGAAATCTGGAAAGAAGAGCATGCAGATGAGTTTTCTACAAACTTTGAAGGAAGTTCAGGAGGCATAGAAGTCAATGGAATGATATCCATATTTCAGCGGTCAGAAAAGCTTCAGAACGTTAAATATTCCCACTATATTGGAGATGGAGATTCAAAAACGTTCTCTAATCTCTTGAATGCACAGCCATACGTAAATTTCATCGTACAAAAACTCGAATGTGTGCTACATGTGGGAAAACGTAGGTTTCGACGTTTGAATGGAAGTTAAAAAAAGTTTGACAGAGCAGAAAAAGTTTAAAAAAAGGAAGAAGAAAAGCTGCAGAAAGGAACGAAAAAAAATCTTAAAAAGAACAAAAAAGGTGCCAAACCGCAGGTGAAAACTACTGAACTTACAGAAAAAGTTATGAAAGTGATGTCGTTATACTATGGTCTGGCAATACAAAGGCATCCTGACTCTGTTGATGACATGCAAAAAGAAATTTGGGCAACTTTCTATCATAAGATCTCGACTGATGATAAACCGCAACATCAAAACTGCAATGTTAGTTGGTGTGGCTATTTACAAGCACAAAAAAAATAAGCGGTACGTTCACAAACCAGCTTTAAGTTCTGAAGCTCAAGAATTTGTTGTACCTGTGTATGAAAGTTTGACAAATTCGGAACTTTTAACACGCTGTTTAGGTAGAAATACGCAAAACAATAATGAAAGTTTTAACGGTTTGCTTTGGTCTATGTTACCGAAAACACACTGCACAGGTCATAAAATTGTCGAAATGGTGACCTGGATTGCCCTTTCAGTATTCAACGAAGGTAATCAAACGCTTCTAAAAATCATGAACACCATGGGACGTGACATCGGTACAGTTGCAGTTGATTTTGCAAATAAACGAGACGAAAAGAGAATTCTAGCGGCGGAGAAGCGCGCATCTTCAGAATCACAAGAAAGCAGAATAGCAAGGAAAAAACAGAGACAGCTTGACGATGAGACACTCGAAGCAGCTTCAGGACTTCTCTACGGACCAGGGATAACAGATTAATGCTTTTGTAAGTAAATAGTTTATATTTAGAAAAAATTATCTACTATATTGGATGCGATATTTAAAATTTTTGAAATCTGACATCATAATCGTAATCAGCGACCCGAAAAACCCCCGAGTAATCATTTTCGAGCAAATCCGATTAGTTTTAAAATTTTCGTCCGCCATATTGGATCCGCCATTTTGAATTTTTAAAATCTGACATCAAATTCGTAATCAGCGACCCCAAAAACCCCTGAGTAAGAATTTTCAAGCTGATTTAGTTATTTCTGCTTGACTAATTATAACCTTTTGATATCAAAACTTTAAACGCTTTTTTCTCAAAACACTATATTTAAAAATGATAACCAGTAGAACTCAAAAACCGTTTGACCAATTTTTAAAAATTCAAGTTGCATTCGATTCAGTGGAAGTTTTTGCAGGTCCTAATCCTCTAATATATTTAAAATATTCAATAATCAGGTTTTTGTGAGTGATTGATTGTCAAAAAAATGGTGTTTTTTCAGTTTTTTGGGTTCCAAAGCTTGCCATTTTTTTTCTTTTTGATTTTTTTTTAATATCTCGCTGTTTAGAACCTGTATTAGGTCTTAAACTTTAAAATCACGTTTGATTTCTTTTATTTTAGATGATTCTGCGATGAGCTACAGTGGTTAAAGTAAAGAACTTTGATTTTGACCAGTGTACATAGCGACATTATTTTTAAAATCGCAATTTTTTTTTAATAGTTCTTGACGTATATAGTAACATGTAAAAACTTTTGATCAATTATATTTTAAAACTTATGAGTACACGATCTTTTAAAAACCTTCTATTTTAGGACAAAAAAATTTAGGATACCCCTTAAAAATAATTGTCAATTTTAAAATTTATCTTTTTGAACGTCCAATTTTAAGAGATCTAGTCGAATAATTTTTCTCGTGTCATTCTGACCCCATATTACCTTTACGGGTTAAATAAATTGAGTTTTAAAAATTTGAAGATAAAAATAAATTTGTAATAGGTTCACAAAAAAATTTTACTTTTTAAAAAATTTGTGTTGAAAAAAATATATTTATTTGAAAAGAACAATAAATAAAAAAATTCAGAAACTAATAAATTTTTGAGGAAAATTTTTAAATATTTTTTTATGTAAAATGCGTGCAAAATGAAAAATAAAAGAAAGATATATCTTAATGGCATGCAGTTAAAATTATATGTTTTTCCTGATTTTTCTATCTCTAAATTTCAAATTTACGTATTTTTAAAAACAAAGTTTAGTAATAGTAAAATTTCTCATTCTCTTATGTGGGTGATTCTACAAACGAGTGAATTTTGACAGGTGAGGCTTATTTTGTATATTAATTTTGAAAAAAATAATTTTATTTTTGATGAAAATTGTAAATCTTAATGGTTTCTATTGTGGCACTAAAAAATACACATCAAATACACATCAAAGTGCTAAATTTCTCATTTGTCTGGCATGTCCCGTAGTGCAAATGACAGTTCATATTGTAAAAAAATTTTATTTTTCAATTGTTTAGCAGAAAATTCATACTGCATTAGTAATGTTAAACAATTGTAGATTATTAATGTGAAAATAGTTATGACATTACTCTATACCTTATTTATAAAATATCTTCTCGAATTTTGTCCCTAGATTTTGTTATCATTCGTCTGGCAGTTGAAAACATGTTAAAATTATTAAAAATCAATATTCTGATGAAGTTACAGTTCGTTATTGTTGTTAATTAAACTGAACTATATGTGATGCCACTCGCGTTTTATTTAATATGTTATTCTATTAACCAAGATTTCTCAATTTCTAACGGAAATTGTGTTGTGACTAGACAAATTCTTATTCGTCTGGCAGCCATTTTTTGAAAAAAAAAACATTATTTTTAGGTCCTTTTATTGGCGATTCAAACAGCTACACTAGCGCCACAGTTGAACTAATTTAGGCGTGACTCGCTCTAAAGCAGTCTCTGTTTTGACAGTTTATTTCAAATTATTTAATTATTCTGATATTTTTATTGCGTTTGTAAAATTATTTTTAAGCGTTAAATAAAAAAAAATAATTTAAAACACATGGAGTGCTACAGAGCGAGTCACGCCTAAATTAGTTCAACTGTGGCGCTAGTGTAGCTGTTTGAATCGCCAATAGTACATTACAACTTAATATGCTACTGTTTATGATATTTTTAATTTGGATTGTTTTATCTAAATGTTTATTAAGGGGTGGTCGTCAAGTATTATTTTTGATCCTTTTGGGGTTGATAGTAATTGGAATATACTCTAGGAGATTTCTAGTATTTATGGATGTTAAAGACGGAAATTAATTAACAAAAAAATAAAATAAATAATTTAAAGAGAAAATAATAATGTTTAGAAAGAATACTAATTTTTATTATTAACAACTCCGCTCGTAGGTAAAGCGTAAATTGATTTTCGCTAACAAAGTTAGAAAAAGGTAGTGGACAGTCCCATAGTATATTATCAACTCAATAAACCCGGATAGACGGTTTTTTAGATAAAATGTTCAAAAAGAGAGATATAATAAAAACATCAAAAAGGTGACTAAATAAATGAAAACGTAATTAGCACAACAAAAGAAATCCGTTTATTCATTCAACCCCCAAAAGTATACATTCAGTTCACCAATTGATCTTTAATAAAACGATTACAATTAAAGCAATATTTACGTTAAGCTACTTGACTGAAAATCAAGTCTCACAAGAATAATTTATTGCTAGTAAAACAAAGAGACCAAATAAAAGAAATTTTCATTAATAAGAAAACAATTTGTGTGTTTAAGATGTGTGTAATAATGAATGTTTGTTTTTCATTCTATGATTCTATCTTTTTCAAATAATGTATGGATATTTAGAGCAATTCACCAGAATAATAATAATAATAATTTAAATGTTACAGAAAAGTATCAAATTACTTTTCGAACTCTTGAGAGTTTAACACTTTCACTTGATATACGATTCCCAAGTATGCGGAAGTCTTTTTAACTTCCTTTATTCTTTATATTTTCCTTCTTTACTTTGATAACTAGTATTAAATATTTCCTTTAAACAATTATTTCAATATTTCAAAATCTGCCTTTTAAAAATTCAGAGTTTGGTGTTTGAAGGTACAAGTATTAAAAATAAGATGGTATTATTAAATATATTTTATTGGAAATAAATGAGAGCTCTGGTTGTGCTCTGCTCGATGACGCAAAAGGGTCTGACCCAATTAGGCCTGAGTAATTAGGAAGGGATAGGCAAAGGTAGGCAAAAATGACTCATCTTACTCCTGTACTTTTCCCCAGCTACCCACTAAAAAAAAAGAATTAGGAGTAAGCGAAAAGAATTGGTGGTAACTTAAGCTGAATGCGGTTTGGCGAAAAAACCGAATTGGAACGTTACGGTGAATTATTTTTTTCTTACCGTGAATTCTTTTCTCTTAAACATTTGAATTGACGTTTGTTTATTCGAGATTGCATTATAAATGAATAAGAATAAATGTTTCGAAGTCTAAAAAAGCCGATTTGGAATAAGAAATATATAATTTTTTAAAAAGAAATAAAAGTGAAATGTGATAGATTTACCGACAATTTTACCATGTGAGTACTACTCAGATGGTAAATTTATCATATGAACACTACTCACTTGATAAAATCGTCGGTGAATCTGTCACACTTCGCTTTCATTTATTTTTTTAAATTATATATTTCTTATTCCAAATCGGCTTTTTTAGACTTCGAAGCATTTATTTTATTCATTTATAATGCAAACTCGAATAAACAAACGTCAATTCAAATGTTTAAGAAAAAAGAATTCACGGTAGGAAAAAAATAATTCACCGTAACGTTCCAATTCGGTTTTTTCGCCAAACCGAATTCAGCTTAAGTTACCACCAATTCTTATCGCTTACTCCCAATTCTTTTTTTTTACAGGGTATCCAAAATGTTGCAAGTCTCAACTTGCAACGAGCTAAACAATAAGACCATAAAATGGCAGGTGCTAAAAGGGTCTCAGGTAATGAACCTGAACTCTAAATTTGTGTAACTGTAAGAAATCAAACAATTTTAGTTAAATACTAAAATATTCTAAAAATCAGAGCACAACCTAAAATTATAATAATTAATTTTCCTAATGTGTAACAAATACGTAAGTGTGTGTCATGTGTACTTGCCTGTGTACCATTTTCTAAACTATATGTTTAATAATGAATTATTTTTTTTAATGTCCAAAAATAAATTAAAATCATTCAAGAAGATTTGATCGCCACAAGAGTATTGGGTTCACCAAACCTGAATTTTCCAAACAGTTAATTTGATATATAAATAATTACGATATTAAACAAACACTTTTCAATTTCAAACGTGATCTTGCACTTTAGCATTATAATTTTTTTTACTTGTAAAATTAATTTTCCTTTTTCAATGAACTTTTATAACTCAATAGACATCTTTAATGCCTTCAAAAATCGTTCATGTGTTAATTAAAGGATTAAAAAAATTTGTAATTTTCCAGATAATTTCTTTGAAATTTGTATCAGTAAACTTTTGACAAAAACATTTCTGTAAGAATTTTAAAATTAACCAATAAAATTTTCCTGGGTGATTTTTGATAAGATAATTTTAAAACTATCGACAAAAAATGTTCTAACTTTATTTTGACTTTTTTGTTCGAAAGTATAATATCCAATGAATAAATACAATAAATAAGAAATCTAAGGTTATAAAATTTTAAAATATTTTTTATGCATAATGCACACGAATTTAGAAACAAATATCTTAATCGCATGCAGTTTACATTAAATACATAATTTTATATTTCTTAATATTGTTGGTTTTTTATATTTTTTATTTATAATTCTAGACCTGAATTACAAATTTACGTATTTTTGAAAACAAATTTTTAAAGTTGTAAAATTTCTATTTTTTTAAATATCAACCGTTCACAAAATTATTAAAATCAAATTTCATATGTGTCGCTATATATAACTACCATAACATTTTTTATGTCCAAAAAACAAATATTCATTAAAGTTAAAAAAAACCAGTAGAAATTTTAAATTAAATAACATTTTCTTAATTCAAAAACGTAAAAATTTTTCTCTATCTTAACTTAAAAAAATTTTTACTTTTTAGTATTAGGAAAGAGTTATTAATTTGTAATTGAGATCTAGAATTATAAATAAAAAATATGAAAAACCAACAATATTAAGAAAAATAAAATAATATATTTAATGTAAACTGCATGCGATTAAGATATTTGTTTCTAAATTCGTGTGCATTATGCATAAAAGAAAATTTAAAAATTTTATAACCTTAGATTTCTTATTTATTGTTCTTTTCATATAGATATATTTTTCAAAACCAATAAATTTTAAAGTAGTAAAACTTCTTTTCGTAAATCTGCTACAAAATAATTTATAACTTTAAATTACTAAATTTATTTGCTATTAAAATTTAGCCAAGATATTTTGCTTGGTTTCTGAAATATTAGATTTAAAAATATTTTTTACATCTTTCACTATTCTCATAAAAGAACAGAGAGATGTGAAATTGTTTTGTTAATTTCAAGTCTTAGTACTTAAAAAAAAATTTCCAATTGCAATTTTTACTTATTAAACAAATTTCTCAATAAATATAATGAAATTATTTAATAATTCATGTAATTTAATTAAACGCTTCTTAAAATATTCAAATTCTCTTTTATTTTTATTGTTATTCGTAACATTATTTTATATAAATAAAAGTTTTCGACATTTTTGAAAAAATGAACATTAGAGGATTACTTCAGAAATTTTGGCTCATATTTAAATATTAATTTTATTTAATTTTTTTTTAAATTACTTTTTACACAATATTAGGTTATTAATATTTAAATTATTAATTTTACCATTATATTTAAATACTATTATTATCATCATTAATGTAAATTTTAACCTTAAAACTTAATTCTAATTCTTTTTTTTTACAAAATCTTAATGATAAATTATTAATCGCTAGGTCATTTTAATGTCGGTAGTGAAAAATTTTAATTTAAAAACAACTGTATTGGGAGTTGTAACATCGGCTACATATATTTAATCGCCTTCATTTAAACCCAATTCATTTAGGGTTTTTGATAAATTTTCTCGTTTCTTCTCCTCGATACACAATGGATATGTGACCTTAAGAAAACAAATTTTTCAATTTCTAATTAAATAAATTTTGAAGTTCTTTCAAAATGTTTTAAAAAGATTTTTCAACTTTCTTTTATTGAATATTAGTGTGAGGAACCAGTGAAATTTCAATCTATCAAAATTTAGACTAATAAAAATTGACATTGTTTAAGGGTT